GTTTCAGTGGTTATTTGGGCATATTTTGGCATGACATACATCTTTTTTAGGCTGGTTTAATGAGCTTTCATATGCTTCACATAGTTGTAGAACAACTCATGGTTCACTAGCTTTCTTTGCATGCTTTGTGGGCCCTTCATTTTAGCACTTTTTGGCCATGTCATAAACTCTTTTATGTGTCCATCATATAGGTGTAGAGTAACCCCTTGCATGGCCTTCCAAAGGAGCTCATCATTTTTGCATGCATTGACTGAGTTTCAGTGGTTATTTGGGCATATTTTGGCATGACATACATCTTTTTTAGGCTGGTTTAATGAGATTTCATATGCTTCACATAGTTGTAGAACAACTCATGGTTCACTAGCTTTCTTTGCATGCTTTGTGGGCCCTTGATTTTAGCACTTTTTGGCCATGCCATAAACTGATATTGTTCTTATTTTGGACTTCCCTAGCTCTATTTTTGGGTCTCATGATTGAATGATGTTTGTTTTGCATGGTTGTAGTTCAATACCCATGCTTAACTTTGAGATTTGAGGCCCATTGCATGCATGTGCTGAGGTGTGTTCATGTTTTGAGTCTATTATTCATCACATTTCAGAGCTTGTTTGAATGCCATGTTGTCATGTTTTATACTCTTTAAATGCGTTTGAGAGTTGGGCTTGTATGCCTCATTTACCGACCATTGAATGAGCTCTATTTCGTTGCATTCTGAGCCATCATTTTAGGTCATTTCCCCACTATTTCAGACCTGTCTAGGGTCTGTTTGGGGTTGATTTTGCCATTAGTGCATTGTTTTGGGTACCTCTAGAGTAACGCACTCTAGTTTCGGTACCTGGGCCCCCTAGCTTGCATTGTGTGCCATGTTTGCATGTTTCGGGACCATTTTGTATCATGTTTTAGAGCTAGAATTTGTTGTTTGTATGCCATATTGCATCCTTTTCCATGCTTTGGTAGAGTGACATTCGATGCCTTAGGATCGATCCCTTGCATCGTGCATGTTTGCATGTGTTTCGGTTGTCTCATTTCCATCATATGGCCACTGATGTGAGTGTGGCTGAGGTCCACTCATTTTGGTGTAAGTCCATCGTGCATTGTGTATGCCATTTTGGTCCATAGCATTGCGTATGCTAGGTTGCATGTTAGAGCATTGTGTATGCCATTTCATAGCATTACGTGTGCTAGTTTGTATGTTAGTCGCATTGTGTATGCCCTCTCATTTGCATTGTGTTTGGGATAGGAGTTAGCCCAAGCACGGGAAACGAGGGACGTTTCGTACTCCAAATGACGGAATGTGTCTCAATTCCCGGTCGCCGACACTCCGGATTACCCATGATGGAGTTTAGGTCTTGTTGTGTTTATATGTGCATTCATTTCACATCGAGTCCTGCAATTCGACTCCTCGGCCATCATGCATCGAGATGTGTGATTGGTGGCACGAGGATCGAGGACTACACTTCCTGAAGAGTAGTCACGCATACATATGTGTAAATACTTTGTTGTGCCCCATTCTTGCTCTCTGTGACAGCAAATTAGAAATCAGCGGCTTTCTAAAGCCTTGCACAGCATTCCGGCATCAATTGCAAACAGAGGTGAATCGGGGCCTCGCAATGGATTTTCGTGCCAGGCAACTCAAGCATACATCATTCTTCATTCGGAACAGAGCTGAGGTGGTCCATAGGCTTTCATGCTAGTTTATCCACTTTCCTAGTTAATTTGTTAGTTAATTAGGGTTTTGTACTTATTCGGACTGTATTATTCTTTCGGACCCTTCGAGCGAGGGCACAATGTTGTAATAAGTGTGCGTGTGTGTGATGTATGTTTTCCAACCCCACGTCTTTCTCCATTTTATTTATCTGCTTATGATGGTTAGATTAGGGCATGTTTCAATTAGCATACTTATGTTTGCATATTTGCATCATTCATCTGCATTGCATGCACCGGGCTCGGCGCATCATACTAACTGCATTTGTATGTCTGTCTTGCATGTATCGGGCTCGGCGCATCATACTAACTGCATTGTATTTTCAATTCCAAATTGAATACATGCTATCTGTTGCATTTCACATGCCATTTTAAAAGAGCCGAGCCTATTGTAGTTGCATTTTTGCATGTGTTGCATTAGGCATTTCTTTATAGTTAGGATCATGCATGGATTTCTTACATAGCTTTTGTTTTGGCTTGGAGTACTCGGTAAGTGTTTATGCTTTAGCATCCTTGCATGCGTGTGAATGTTGCCATGATAGCATGTTTACCATGAGGCTATATGCTTATATGATATAACTGCCTGAATGCCTGTGGGTTAAGGTTGGATTATCTGAATTGGAATAATGCATTGACTGTGAGTTTTAAGCCCACTAGATAGTGGCAAAACCATGTTTTCTAAGCCCACCTGAGGGTGGCAAAATCTTCATTTTTTAGCCTACTTGTGAGTAGCAAACCGCTTTAAAAAACAAACATGAAACGTTTTGTTCCAATTCAGGTGATCCACTCTATACTTGTATGCTGTGCGCATCACATAGTAAATCTAGGCTCATAATTGGAATAAGAACGCATAATGTTTTCAAAACTAGATATCATGGTTAGTAGAGGCCGATCTTTGATCGGGCGAGCGGGTGTGCTCACGAAGTGACCTTCCCCAATCGTAACCAAGTTCCCGAGCCGAGGCAACTTTGGTGATGACGGACACGTGGCCTTAGGCAACGAGTCAGGGTTTCCTAAATTCCCCCAAAATAAATATTTAGGTGGCAACTATGTATCTGGCAAAGTAGTCCATGTTTGACACTTCTTTCAAAAAATCTGTTTTCAAAAATGATTTGCCAGATTTGGACTCTTTGATGATTTCATCGGTCTTGCATTGCATTCTGTGAGATTAGATACAAGACCGTGACATTGAGTCCTGAACTGTAGTGAGCCCAAATGAACAGAACGGGAGATTTCCTCCCGGGACGTTTGGGGACGTCTACACTCTTTATGTTATTCGAGTGCATACTAGACAAGGTGTAGCAGTACACCTAGTCTATGTCGTGCATTTGGAGAACCATGGGGAGATGATGCCGAAATTTCGTTAGAGATAAATAAAGCGGTATGAGTTACTTTTTATAATATAGATTGTGCATTCCTGAATGGGAAAGTAGGATGAACCAACATATTAGAGACCAATTACAGGTGAATGATGTCATGTCGCATGCATTATAAAATACTTAATGGAGGTTAAGATTAATTAGAATGGAACGGTAATTTTGAACATTGTTGATTTGGCAGTGACATTTGTAGTGTAAAATAGAGTCAGATGGATAAAAGTTGGATAAATCAGCATAGGTTACACTTGGAATACATACAAGGGGTTAAGGAATTTATTAAATTTGCATGCAAAAATAAGCCGTTGTTGAATGAAGTCATATGCCCATGTAAACGGTGTCGTAATGTCAAATTGGTGGAAAAAGTCCTGTTAGGGGAACATTTAATGATCAATGGGTTTCTTCCAAATTACGCTAGTTAGATTTTCCATGGGGAGAATTTGTCGTCACCTGTGCCACACAATGTAAATGTCGGGGAAACTGATTCAAACGATGGTGATGAAACTTATGAAATGCTATACGAAGGATTTGGACTTCCTCCACCAAGCTTTATTCACGAGGCAGCAAGTTCTGGTATTAAAAAAGGTCCAGATGAGAAAACCAAAAAAATCTTCAATTTATTGAAAGAGACCGAAAGAGAGTTGTATCCTGAGTGTCAGAAGTTTTCAACGCTCTCATTTATTGTTCGGTTATTGCACATCAAGTGCCTTAGTGGATGGAGTGACAATTCTTTCACGATGTTGCGCGAGCTTTTGAAGGATTTGTTCCCAAAGGGTGAAACTTTGCCAAAGTCATTTTTATAACTAGGAAACTCCTTAGGGACTTGGGCCTCGATTATCATAAGGTACATGCATGCCCAAAGGATTGTTCACTATATTGGAAGGAAACAACTAGTACGGATGATTGCATAGTGTGTCATATGCCTAGATACAAACAGTTTGAGGGGGAGGAGAATGATGTTAAGAAAAAGTAACAAAGAATTCCACAACAGATTGTTAGATACTTTCCATTGATTCCAAGGCTTCAAAGATTGTTTTTGTCATCCAAAACATCTTATTTAATGAGATGGCATACAGAGGGCCGAATTGATGACGGCAAAATGAGACATCTCGTTGACTTTCCAGTCTGGAAATTTTTTGATAATTTGTATCCCAAGTTTACGAGTGAGCCTCGCAATGTCAGACTAGGTTTAGCAATGGATAGATTCAATCCATTCAAGGTAATGAATGTCTCGCATAGCAGTTGCCAATTATTATGATGCCATACAATTTGCTACCATGGTTGTGTATGAAGCAGCCTCATATGATGATGACATTGCTCATCGATGGTCCTTCTTCACCTGGAAATAACTTTGACGTTTACTTACGCCTTGTAGTGGATGAATTGAAAGAATTATGGAAAAACGGTGTTGACACGTATGATGCAGAAACTAATCAGATGTTTCGAATGCATCCTGTGTTATTATGGACTATAAATGATTTTCCTACTATGCAATTTTGTTTGGATGGAGCACGAAAGGCGCTTTAGCTTGTCCTTATTGTAACACACATACTCGTACTCGAAATTTCAAAGAAAGAGAAGAAGAAGAAGAAAAAGAAAAAGAAGAAGAAAAAGAAGAAAAAGAGCTAACAAGGTAAAAGTATACAAATAATTAACTCAATTGTGACATTGACGTAGCCGTAGGTGTAACAATCTAATGGCAACTCCTCAACCTGCAAAGTGTTCACCAATTCTAACATTCACACCAACGAAATCTGAACATGCTGCTTATTTAAGCTGATAATAATATTCATAAATCAAAGCTTCATCCATGGTAGAAATCATCAAACAGCTAAGCAAATAGCCTTCACAATTCATTTTTTATGTACACAGACTGTTCAAAGAACATTAAAGAGATATAGGTGATGTAGTAGGACTCTTAATTTAATTCATTGTAGAGGGAGCTGCATGAATTAGGGTGGTCCCCATGCAAGCTTGAGCTGATGCCATAGTCATCTGCTCCATCTTCACCCCAGCATTGCACATGTTAGCAATGGCATGCATATACGTCATTCCATACCTTGACAGAGATCCACAATGTTCCTTATAAGTCCTCACCTGCATGAAACAGAGTTGAAACCAAATCACTTTCTTCTTGTTGTTGTTAGATTTAGATATATATATATATATATATATTGCAATGATATTGATAGGATAAACATTTACATACAAAAGCATGAAATAGATAAGTAAAACTCACAAGTGTCTTCAAGCAGTTCCAGTCATCTACAAGAGATTGTCCTGCAGGTCTAACAGTTTCTAGCATCAGCAGCCCATTTTCAGATTCGAACATAAACTTCCCAATAAACATCATAGTATTACTCTGGTCATCTGTGTATTTGAATTCAAGCTCTCTAATGTATTATTACCTTTAGGGCATCACTGCTTTGCTTGTTGGCTTTATTTTACAAATTTTGATTGTTCCTCCTTTTTCCTTGCTTGTAGGGCTTGTTGGTGCATGATATTCGGGTTTTGGATTATTGTTGATGACTCACAGTTTATTACAAGTTCTTACTCATTCTACTAGATGCTGCACAGTTATTGTTGATGCCTCACAGTTTATTACATTCTACTAGATGTTTTCTCTTGCTCATTTGAGACCTGAACAAGTTCTTTTGGAAGGCTTTATTTTGTGGTGTTATATTGAAAATGAATTTCTACTTTTAGAACATTGCTTATGGAATACACATGCTTAAATGCTTTGTGTGTTTGCAGCTGCCATCTGTGCTTCTGAGTTACATTTTTATGCTTCTAAGTTACATTTTTATGCTACTATTGCTCCTGAGTTATGAGCAAATTATCTTATAAAAGCTTTTGTAATACAAGTTGGTCTAGTTGATAAGAACAAGGCTGTGTGTGACTTTTGGCTGGTGTTGATTTTTGCTGCCACAGGATTGCTAGTCCTGATAAGAACAAGGATGATTTTTTAGTTGATAATTGTGAATTTAATTTTTGGAAATGTTATTTTGTGGGTAATGAGGAACAGGGGTCCCTGCTGTGCTCAAAGCACAACAATGACTGTGGTGCCTCCATTTGAGGTGTATTATGGTCTTATTTTTATGATCTAAACTGTTCATATTGTAGGGTTTATTGAATACTTCATGCCTATCAAAAATCATATTAATCGGATATCAATAACTATATGATCGAATCGCATATTGTTTATGCTATTTCTCAAAAGAAAAACTTATTGTTTATTTTTTTGGTTTCGATCATATAGTTGTTGATATCCGACTAAAATGATTTTTGGTAGGCATGAAGTACTCAACAAACCCTACAAAATAAACGGCTTGGATCATAAAAATAATGCCATATACACCTCAAACGAAGGCACCACAGTCACTGTTGTGCTTTGAGCACAACAGTGACCCTTTTTCCGGGTAATGATGATTGGATATTAAATTGATTACGAAAGTGAATTAATGATTCATTTACTATTTGAATGAGAGTTATTATTTCATATTAAGACTATTCAATTTTATTACAGGTATTTTTTTGGTTCAATCACATAAAAGTAGCACAATTTAAAAATTAAAAAAAAAGAGAGGATTTCACGGCATTTTTAAAACGCCACCTAAACTTTAAAAAGCTAACTATCAGTTTTTTTTAAAAAAAAGATATGACATCATTTTGAAAACGTCGCTAAAATCATAGTGACGTCATGGTAGGGGCATTTCATGGCGTTTCGATAAACGCCGCCTCACGACGTTTTTAAAACATCGTAAAGAGCGACGGCCGCATCTTCAACGTTTGGTACTAAATGTCGCAAAAAGAATTAACGGCATTTTTTATAGATATAACGGCGTTTTTTAAACATCACTAAAAGTCTGATTTCCAACAGTGAGTCCTAGTGTAGCTTTCTTTTTCTTTCTTTTACTTTTTTAAGTTCCAGTGCTGTCAATCACAATTCGTCGTTGTGCTTTTTTTTTTTGCTTGTTTATTCCTTATTTTATACTAGGCTTATATTTTAATTGCATCATTCTTTTTTATTTTATTTTAAATATTGTACAATTTTTATCACCTACTAAAAATGCAGTTTGTCTGTTTTAGTAAGAGCTCCCTACAAATTTTTGCTAGTCACCACGTGTGTCAAATATTTCTAACCCTTTATCTGTTTGGCAGGTTACGTCTCTTTGGCTGTGTCACTTGCCAATAACAAATGATTTCTAGGAGGCTAAAGCTGTGCATGATTAGTTTAAAGGTGTTATTTATTGATTCCCCTTTCATTGTATACTTATTGTGGCAATTTTGAGGAGAAAGGAAGATTTTGGAACCCGAAAATGATAATCTTTCTAAAATCTTCAAAATTTTTGGATGTAAATTCCCAGTTCATGGTTTCTTGTTTCCTTGACCTTATTCTGAAATAACCAAATCAAACCAACCCTTAAGTCCCATCAAATGGGGTCGGCTACATAAATCCTTCGACCTTATTTTGAAATAGGGTTGATTAATGATACCATTTGACACTACTTTTATAACTTATCCATAATGTAACATGGTAATTTTTCTAACCTATACTCAGATTCTAACAAGTTATCTTTAGACAGTTCTTATCTGTTAATGATGTTATATGATATCTGAAACACACTCTTCCACAATGATAGTTTGAGGAAAATCCAATAAAAAAAGGGACGACCATGACAGAACTAGAACCTATAGAACTTATTCATGCAATGCATTTTAGATTACTTTTAGTTTACTCAAGTTATACAAGCAGTTCATGTTGGATTACTCATAATGTTACCTTAGTATTTGCTTTGTCTGGGAAACACATTATTATATGCTGCCTTATAAACTTATAACATAAGAATGGCAATCTAATTATGGTGACTATAACACATTCTAATTTATACCTTGTGGAACATTCTAATACAGTACATGATTAATTTCTCTGAATTATTTTAGTTTTTCTTCAAGGTTTTGCTGAACTGGTACTTGTAGACACCCCATTTTTGACCGACCATGAGACTCAGACGTCACCAGTTGAGCGCTCGGTGATATTGCATATTGTGCTCGTTCAGAAGTTTCAGAGTCTCGGCTGCGAGCCTTGCCTCCGGACTTCCGGACACTTTTGTGCTTTGCCTCGGTTTGCGAATCAGGCTCCGTTTTCTCTGTTTTCTCTTCCCGAAGGGAGGGAGAGGTCTCGTAGATCATCTCTCAGTGGCCGTAGGCTACGTTTCGTGGTCGTAGGTCGTTTTGCCCGTTTGGAGTCTGTTTCTGGTTTTTCGGAGCCGTTGGCCGTGTGCCTCGGTTCGGGACCGCTTAACCACCTCCGTTTGCTCCAATTTTTGACATGCATCTTATTTACTCCCTTTTGAGGGACACTGCGGTCCGAGAGACCAACTTCGTGGTCGGACACCACTTCCGGTGCCTAACAGCCCACTTTCGGGGCCCCGAACTGCGTGTTTTGGCTCCCGAACCGTCATTCTGCATTTTTGGGCTCCAACCCAAACTTGAGATAGTCATATTTTGAGGTCCTTCTCATGTTTGATTAAGGATCTTTTGCTATTTGAGATCTCCTACTGCCACTTGCTTCTTTACCCCTCTTTTAGGCCTTTTCTTGCATGATAGTTTAGGCCTACTTGTATTTATTTTCGTGGCTTGTCATAAACTACAAAGTGTCTTATTTTGAGCCCCTCTTCAACTTTGTTAAAGGGCTCTATTCGGTTTGAGATCTTCTACTATCACTTGCCCCTTTATCTCCCTTTTAGGCCAATTTTGGGGGGAAATTTGAATTTCATTTCCCCCCATTTTTCCCCCTCTTTCCCACCCTCTTGTGTCTATATAACAGACCCCCCAGCTGTGTTTTAGGGGTTAAAAAATTTTGGTTTGGAGCTCTCACATTAAATCTCTCTCTCTCTCTCTCTCTCTTCTCTAAGCCTTAAAAAAACCCTTTGATTCTTACACCATTTCCTCACCATCACCTAGCACCACACCACCACTCCATTCCAGCAGCTTGGAGGGTCTTCTCAGAGCTTAGGAGGCAGCATTTCTTGGTCCAAAACGCTATCAAAGATTAGTCTTCAAGAGTAAGTAATCTTCTCCCTTTTTTGACCCTTTTCTTGGTTCACATCTTAGCTCTTTGTGCTTGCATGTTGGGGCTCCGACCCTAACTGAAAACATCATTTTTTTGAGCTCTATTTCATGTTTGTTTAAGGGCCTCTCACTGTTTGAGGCTCCCTTTTTGCACTTGCTTCATTACCTCCTTTGTATGCCATTTTCTTGCATATTATTTTAGGCCTATATGTAAACTATTTTGAGCTCTAGTCCAAACTGTAAAGTGGCTTATTTTGAGCCCTTCTTCAACATTGTTGAAGGGCTCATCACTGTTTGAGGCTTTCATTTGCCACTTTCTTTTATATCCCTCTTTTGGCCTTATTTTTGTATGATTTGTTATCCCTTTGTGCTTATATTTTTGGGCTCTGGTCTGAACTGTAAATAGCCTTATTTTGACCCCCTCTTCATGTTTGATCAAGGGTATTTAGCTGTTTGGAGCTTCCTTTTTTCTCTTTGTGTTTAAACCTCTTTTTAGGCCTTATTTTGCATAGTATTTTAGGCTTGCATGTGCACTGTTTTGGGTTTGATCATAAACTTTAAAATGCCATGTTTTGGGTCCCTCTTCAACATTGTTGAAGGGCCCTCTCCTGTTTGGGGCCAGCAGCTGTGACTTGCTTCTTTATCTCACATTTAGGGCCATTTTTGCATATTGGTTTAGCCCTATTTGTGTTCATTGTTTGGCCTTGCTTAAAACTGTAAACATGCTTTTTTGGGACTGCCTTGAATCTTTCTTCACGCTTCATGATCAAATAATGCATGCTTTGTATAGCTATAGGTCATTGCGTATGCCTAATTTTGCATTTCGGGTACCATTTCATGCATCGGGTGCCATGTTTCCATGATTCGGGGCTGTTTTGCATCATATTTCGCTTCTGAAATTTGCATGTTTGCATATCATATTTCATGCCTTGCCATGTCTTGTTAGAGTGGTATTTGGTGCCTTAGGATCGGTCATCGGTTTGCGTGCATGTGTGCATGCATTTCGACTGTCTCATTTTTCATCTTATGGCTTCCTATGTGAGTGCGGCTGAGGTCCACTCACGTTGGTGTAAGCCCATATTGCATTGTATATGCCATTTCATTTCATAGCATTGTGTATGCTAGGTTGTATGTTAGCGCATTGTGTATGCCATGTTACCTCGTGCATCGTGTATGCCATTTCATAGCATTGTGCATGTTAGGTTGTATCTTAGTTGCATT